AATTTTTTGATTGTGCATGTTACCCTTTTGGAGCTCAATAAAGAAATTTATTAGACCGAAATGGCATATTTTATACATTATTTTGAAGCTGGTATCGTACTCTTTCAAATGAATATGAAAAACGGAAAAAATACATCGTAATTTTTAATAACGGGACCTTTATACAGGTACACAGCTAAGTTTTATGTTCAAATCTTTTAAATTTTGTCAGTTATGACGTCACAATGGTAATGTTAATGAGCTAATTTGCATAATTCATACCTCATTGTAAAGATGCCATCATGAACTTTCATTTGATACCCATATTATAAATATCTGATAGAAAATAAAAAAGATATCTGGGAATACATATTTTATCGTATTAACACTCGTTAAAAGCAGGAGTTATTTATAGCGTCCGTTTCCATGGTAACGGCCCGAGTCAAAATTCTGTTAAACCTCAAATTGGCAATGCATGATATCAGAGCTTTCCGATGGTACCAAAATTTCGCTGGGGGTCAGTAAAATATTAAACTCCCTTATTTGAAGGCTTTGGAGGATTTTCCTACTCGTCTATATATAAATGTTCCAAATGAACGAAATTGGTCAAAAACTGGGATATTTTACCTTTGCTTTTGCTTTTGCAATTGCTTGGCAAAGGTAAACTTCTAAATCCAGCAAACTGGCCAGTATCAATAAAATGGACCAAAGTTAAGCAAATTTGGCAAAATTTAAGCAAACTTGGCAGAGATTAGCTAATTTGGAAATTTTTCCCAAATTCACCGTTAGGTGGCTCCAAAAAAATGTTGCTTAAAATATTCGAACCCCCTCCTGTCAAATCCTGGCTACGCCACTGCACCTCCTTTACTTTTAATTCAGCATATGTCATGGAATAGGTTGGATTGTATGTAATTGGGTTTTACAAGTAAATTTTCTATTAATACAATACAAACCTATTCCATGACCATAGTATTAGTAATCTCCAAAATCGTGCTGGTAAAACATTCCTGGGAGTTAGCCCTAAAACCAGTAATGAAGCAGTCCGTGGGGACCTTGGATGGAGTCCCCTAATTGATAAACAAAGAGTGGAATGCGCTCGACAATACCTGAGGTTACATAACATGGACAATAATAGATTGAATCATAAGGTACATAGATGGTCATTAAAAAACAAAAGAAGTTGGGACTATCACACTAAAGCTATGCTGACTAAGAATGGCATTTTTATTGATCATAATATTTTCTTGCATATAAAATCAACTGTAAAACGTTTACAGGACAGTTTCAATGCAAAAGACCCCTTCTTAAAAAACATTTGGGATGATACAAATAATTTACAGAATGGCAATAAGCTTCGAACATACAGATTGTTTAAATATGGAGTAGTTAATGAACCATATGTGTCTGAATACATTCCAAGGCATCACAGAACCATTCTTGCTAGACTGAGAACAGGTAGCCTAGCCTCCCACTTCACATTGAGACAGGTCGTTGGTCAAATACAGCACTAAATGATCGTACATGTAAATTATGTGATGGTAACTTTGTTGAAGATGAAATTCATTTTGCTGTCCAATGTAAACATTATTCCAACTTGAGAACACATTTTTATAGAACTGTAACTGATATTTTAACACCACATATAAGAACAAACACTGACAATGAGTTACTTTTATTTATAAGCCTAATGCATTCAAGATCAATTCAGAGACAGTGGGCTGCTCTGTTGTACAAAATGTTCATGAAAAGGCAATTTGACCTGGAACGGTTGACTGCAGTATAATAATTTGCCATATTATTCCTATGTATTGTATTTATTGCAGTGAGGGCCTAACCTCCACACCATTTTGTAGTCAAGAATCTAGTCATTATCTCACAAGATGTAAATCATTTATCATCACTTATAGATGGAATTATTAATATTTATCAATCTATGCATTAACGTAGATGAATTGTAGTTTTATTGTTGAATGTCATATCTATACACTGTTATTATTGACCTTTAAAGTCCAGTGTCTCATAAGCCGACATCGGCTGGTGGTTTTTAGAATATGTATTTATTTGTACCAAATGTAAACCAGTGACACTATAATAAACTATTTTAATAAATAAATAAATAAATAAACTATAGTACCATAGTCACTGGTGATCCGCTCGATTACGCTGGTTACCAAAACGAATCGTTTTGGTAACAAGATGGCTGTTGTTCCGGCTGAAGAAATCGGTAAGAATTTTCGTTTTCCTTGATATCTCGAGATACAGCACGAATCATCCAGATCTTTTCGGCCAAAATATGGATAAGCAATCTATCTTTCTGGACAACCAAGTGATTTTAATCGAAATAGTTTGTAGGATGACAGGAATGCCCATTTAATCCCTCGCTTTGGTTACAGAAACGAATTGATGATAATACAACAACGGTCACGCATTTGAACACACTTGTTACCGAAACGGTTATGCTTAGCTATTGATAATCAAACAAAGAAATGTAGGCTATATGTGTATATATTTTGACCTACTTTTGAGATATCGTGTCCGGAAAATAGGTCAAACCAAAAAATTCTCCACATTTAACATATGAATTATGAAATAAAGGGTAGAATTTTCTCAGAAATCAGAATCTGCAAACCAAATAGCAATCCGGTTCGGGAGTTATGGCATTTTGAAATCGCAAAAAATCAATATGATGATATCCTCATGTTAAGTCAATGGTGCCAATTTGAATTGAAAAAATACCAGCTTCTTGCTCAGCTACTCCACAGCCAACTTAATGAAAGCCTTCAATAGAATCGGACCTCAAAATATACTTTTCTTCAAAATCTGAACACTAAAAGGCCTAGGTCAAAATTTAGGTCAAATTCATAGTTTTTCCTTATTTTTAGGATTCTGGCACTGCAGTGCACTTTAATAATATTCTTCGAAATTTGGTATACAGATAGCAAAGAGTATGTTTAAAGCGTTAGCCTTTTGCCGTCAGAGAGTATTTTGAACTGATTTTGAGATATTTTATCAGGAAAGTAGGTCAAAACAAAAAGTTCTCCAAATATAACGTGTGAGTTATGAAATAAAGGTAGAAATTTCTCAGGAATCCGAATTTGGAAACCAAATTTTGATTGGCCTGTCCAGTCTGTCTGTCTGGCCTGTCTATACACTTTTCTTTGAGATAATGAATGGATTTAAAAGATTTACCAGTCTTCGTGGTCGGAAAGTAGTCACAATCCGAGATATGACCGTGTGAAATTGTTTGCGGTAACGTACGTGCTCCTTACTAATTACACGATTTTTTGGGATATAGTGTTCGTTCGGCTTTGCTCGGTGGAGTTTCCGATTTTCTAAATGACTTACACCCCAGTCACATTTGTCGTACGGAGGGCGTGCGTCGACCGCAGATCAATTAAATCAGTGTATTTCTGCGGCGAGCGTAGGAAAACTACGCTCGCCTTGCGGCCTCCTAACGGCGTATACAGTTTTTTACAGGCCGCAGGGTTGCCGTAAATTATAACTCGGAGTTATAATATTTGTTCATTTCTGAGGTCCCCGTAGAAATCAACTGGCTCAACAAGATTGAATCATTATTTGTCAATGTTTCACGATCACTTTTCATTTGATATTACATCCTAGCACTATGAATAACATTTATAAATTGTCCTGATGTAAATAAAATGAAAAAAGTATCATTCATCAACAGAAATTTAAAATTCACCGTGCGGCTGCCGTGGGAAATGTGAAGTTGCAAAAGTATGAGAGCGCAGAAATTCTACGGCGAGCGTAGAAAAGCTACTGGCCGCAGAAATGATAGACCGCACGGCGGCCATGGGAAATGTGACTGGGGTGTCAGTAACTTGCTCTCCCTGCAGTTTCTCAGTGTTTATGTCTTGTACTTTCTCCTGGACATCATCTAAGAATAAAAAAGAAGAAGTAGTTGTGTACGTTCTTGAATAAAGTGCTGAATGGAACATTACACAGGGCAAGGAATGTATAAATTGTATCGCATGTAATGCCGCTGTTAATTGAAGCAACCCATGAATCACAGGTCCCCATCTGGATATTTGCAAGTGCACAGAGTATCAGCAGAACAAAATTACTTTCTGATGAACCTAGCTTCGATTGATTTAGCCAAACGAATTGATAAATAACACAATTTTAAACAACTACAAGAAACTATGGAGAAATTGAACAGAAAAAAATGATTTTCTTAGTGTGCCTAATATTAACATTTGATTTATGTAACATTTCGAAAATGAGTCAGACGCGCAGTCTATTTGGGTGGGATGGGTAGGTGACCGTCGGCCCCCACAAAACAATCATTTAAAATCAGACAAAATGCCGGGACAGTTTCTACAGTAACCTAATGTATGCCAAGTGATTTTGGGCCAACGTATTAAATTCAAACACACGGGGAGCAAACAATGTCATGGTAGTTATTGATCTTTTCAAAGATTCCAATCAAGGGCACAGTCAGTCAACAACTCGTTAAATAGAAATATAAGTTATCGTTTATGTAGCTGTATCTGTCCGTTGTCGTATTATCATCAATTTTCAATCAATTCGTTAATGTAACCAAAGCGAGGAATTATTTTGGCGTTCCTGCCATCCTACAGACTATTTCGAGCAAAATCACTTGGTTGTCCAGAAAGATATATTGCTTACCCATATTTTGGCCGAAAAGATATGGATGATTCATGCTGTGTCTCGAGATATCAAGGAAAACGAAAATTCTTACCGTTTTCTTCAGCCGGAACGGCAGCCATTTTGTTACCAAAACGATTCGTTTTGGTAACCAGCGTAATCGAGCGGATCACCAGTGATAGTATTTTTAAGTTTTACTGCTTACAATTATGAAGATATAGCATATAAAGGGGTGTTAGGTCAGTTGACCTAGAGGGATTCAGGTTATCTTGTTGTTTTTGGACTTGCCCATTTTTCCAAATTAGGGGTATTAGCATATGTCATGGAATAGGTTTGTATTGTAATTAATAGAAAATTTACTTGTAAAATTTCTAAATTTCCTATATTTTCAGCCCATAGTAACAGGTGCCAAAGTGAAGGGAGTGACAGCATTTTGTCTTAACCAGAACCCTATCAGCAACAATCCATTTAGTGTAGAAGTAAGAATCTATGAAATATCAATATTGCAATGGCAAAAATTCCCGAACAAAATTTAGTTAGTTAAAGGGTGACTACAATATTTCTGTACAAAAACAAAATGATAGTTGATTTTTGGAAAATAAGGTTTTAGTCTGTTAATCTCCGTGGAGTTGCTGTTTTCTCGTTGACATATTGTATAATTTTAGATCTGTGTTGCCCTCAGGAAGAAACTGTTGCAAATATATACAGTAACTGAAGATAGGTTGAACCATGTGAAAGATGTAGCTACTCAAGATCCTCCAGTTACCATGGTGAGTGAATTGTGGAGAAGCCCCATTTAGTATGATGTTTTCTTGAGAATCACCATGTGAGCCCATTGTATGGTGCTAATTTTCCCTGTTTCTTATCTGAGCTATACATCTCCTTTCCTATTCACTTTTGCTGGAAAAATGTGAAGACAATTTTGAATGAGCTTGGTCGCTTAGATAATGTGCATACTTTATTATCCCAACGAACGAAGTTCGGTAGGGATATAGTGAAGCCCTCCGTCCGTCCGTCCGTCAGTCCGTCCGTCCGTCCGTCCATCTGTCCGTCCGGAAGATAACTCAAATATTAGTTGACGGATTTTCTTAATATTTGGTGGAAAGATGTATATTGATGAATAGTTTTACGCAAAAAAAAATTTTTTCAAGATGGCCGCCGCTTTAAAAATGATGGGACTTTTTTGCAAAAATCATAAATTTTTCATTCTAAACCAAAGTAATTAATATTATTGTTTGAAATTTTGGTAGTATATTTGCAACATCTATCTATTTCACATATATTCCTTGTTTTTCATCCTGACCCCCAGGGGCCGTGTATGGGGGGTCAGGAAAACAGAAATTTTCGCTAATTTTTAGATCTTTCTGAAGTATAGCTTTATTATACTCAAATGAAAGGCAATTAAGAGAAGATTGCAAATATTGTATCTTTTTTCTGATTCGAGCCTCGTAAAATTCAAAATGGCCGTCTAATGTACGATTTCGCAATAATTTTTCGATCCCTTCAAAGTATGGCTATATAATACTCAAATTGAAGGAATTTTGGAGTAGATCACAATTATGGCAATATTTTTCAGATTTGTACCTCAGAAAATTCAAAAATGGATTTTTTCAAGATGGCCGCCGCTTTAAAAATGGCGGGACTTTTTCGCAAAAATCATAAATTTTTCATTCTAAACCAAAGTAATTTAAATATTATTGTTTGAAATTTTGGTAGTATATTCGCAACATCTATCTATTCCACATATATTCAGTGTTTTTCATCCTGACCCCCAGGGGCCATGTATGGGGGGTCAGGAAAACAGAAATTTTCGCTAATTTTTAGATCTCTCTGAAGTATAGCTTTATTATACTCAAATCAAAGGCAATTAAGAGTAGATTGCAAATATTGTATCTTTTTTCTGATTCGAGCCTCGTAAAATTCAAAATGGCCATCTAATGTACGATTTCGCAATAATTTTTCGATCCCTTCAACGTATGGCTATATAATACTCAAATTGAAGGAATTTTGGAGTAGATCACAATTATGGTATTATTTTTCAGATTTGTACCTCAGAAAATTCAAAATGGCTGCTTTGCAGGAATTCGCAATTCTAAAATCTAAATTTTTCAATATTAACCAAAGTAATGAGTATAATTGATTGGAAGGAGTATAATTGATATTTTGTTCGTTGGGATTTGCTACTCCGCGGAGTTGCCATCATCTAGTTACATGCCTAGTAAGTGTGCTTCAAGGAGGTAAAAGTTGAAAGCTATATTGATTTTTCAGAAAGGTAATTTGAGGTAAATGATCATCTTGGACTCAGAAATTGCTCCCTGTTCATGAGAGCCCTATTTAATTCACTTTGTAACTAGACTAGATAGACATCTGTAATTATTTTTAATTACATCTTTATTCCAGAAACTTTTCCCTCCTGGTACATATAGTATATTTTAATTCTTAGGCAATTAGTGCCATTCTTTTGACCCTCATTTGCTCAACTAATGAGTGTATTGTATTTTCAGTCAATGGATGGTACATTTGTTTGTGCAGCATTAAGTACACAATACAGTATAGTGAACTATGATACAGCCAATAGCACTGATTTGTTCCCTTATGATTCTGAGGCAGTCAAACCATTTGTGCAGCGAATAAGCAAGGTGAGCAAATATATACCTTTTTGCTACTAGATTGTTTAAAGGGGCACTTTCTATTGGCAGGCATAATGAATGTACCCGTTGGTATTTTGCATTGGGAAATGTAATCATTAATTTTATGTCCTTACCATACCTCAATGAGTGGGGCCACATTGTCAGCCAAGGCATATGTGCCTATCTGTCTGACCATCCATCTGTACATCTGAGTGGTTTCTTACTCCTTCAGGTTCAACTTTAACGTTTAATGTAGCTGAAACATTAAAAAGCATTGATTTAAAACATATTCATGATATGATTCTTTTTCTTTAAGGAGGAATTTTTATTGAGTGGTCCTAGTGGACTTGGCATGTTTGTGACAACTGAAGGGGTCTCCCAAAGACCTCCACTGCAATGGAGTGAATCTGTGTCATCATACTGTTATGTCCATCCTTATATAGTAGCCCTTGACAGTGAATTCATAACTGTGCACAGGTAAACCCTGAGCTTTACTTCAAACTACTATGTTTACCATTAAACAATGGAAAATTTTAAATGTCATTTAAGGGATAACTAGTAACACCTTGCACTATTGCTTTGATGGTCCAATTTAAACTATCACGATGCAATTATGTAGTTTTAAAGGGAGTTTCTACTTCTTTAAGTCGGAAGAAAGACTATTAAACATTTTGAAATACTGGATGAATTTCATAAAATGTGAAGTCAATTGGTGTAATCACATTTTTAAGGCCTTTGGATTATAGCTGATAAACTTTATAATTAATGGAAGTATGGAATATGTGTACAACCAGCACAGAACATTTCAGATTTGAAATCAGGTGAATGGATGCTTCTAATGACTACACTTCAGAGAGAAAGTATGCATGGTGCAAAATTTTATGTGAGCATTTATGGTTATAATGTTTTTAAATGTTTTTTTCATTTAGCATATTGGACCAACAACAGAAACAGAGTATTCCATACCAAGGTGGCATATACCTTGATGAATATGAGGGTCGAGTCTTCATTGCATCACTAAAAGAAATATATGCGCTTGTACCAATTGCCTGGGAGAAGCAGGTAAATATTTACAGGTTTTCACAGAACTTTAAAGGCTGCTAAATATGAAATGGCTGTCATTTGTATTTGTATACTGTACATTGAAATCTCTGATAACTCCAATCCTACCAGTTCTACTACCATTTTAGGAATATTATGATAAATCTTGACACTCGGTTTTACCATTCCAGAAAACCCACTCATCAACATTTCTTCAGAGATAATTTCATATTTACCTTCTACTTTGTGGTGCAATTGAGTCACCGCCAAGAAGTGGTGAAATATTGTTATGGTCTCCGTTTTTTTGGTGGCGGCTGGCTATAAATATGACCTTCAATGACATTCTCAAGGTCAAAAAAAGATTTGACCTTCAATGACCTTCTCAAAGTCAAAAACCACAATCTGGACAGTGGACAGATTTGTTTTTTTTATGTACTGATGCCTAGAGATAAAGTGGCTCTGCTAAAAAAAAGTTTTCAAAATGGCCACCATTTGTCATTAAAAGTTTTTAATCTTTGATTTTCCAAATATCAGTAAATGGATTTGGTTCAAATTTTATATGCTGATGCCTAAGGACAAAGAAGCTCTGCTCAAGAAGAAAATTTCAAGATGGCAGCTGAATTTCAAAATAGCCACCATTTTTTGTAAAAGCCACAATCTGGACAGTGGACAGACTTGGTTCAAATTTTATATGCTGATACTTACCTAGGGACAAGGGAGCTCAAGATGGCTGCTTAATAAATTTATTTACATGTTTTTTTTGGTGGGATTTGCCACTCCGTGGAGTTGCTGATTTCTGGTTAAAGGGTGATGCATATCATTTTGCAAATCGAACACTCATTTGGTGTTGCTCACCATTTAATATAAAAGCTGCAATTGCAGAATAAAACTCTAGGGTTCATTGGTTGAAGTCACTGCGAAGATACATCAGCCTGTAGGAATAGTATAGTATAGAACATCACACATTTATTTAAGTGAGATTTTGTTGCCTTTTGTTGTCTTATGCTAGCTATAAGCTTTTAATAAAATAATTTCATGTTTTGTTGTAGGTTACTTCTCTATTGGCTGACAGAAGGGTCTCAGAAGCTCTTGCCTTAGCAAAGAATGCTAAGAAAGTTGGCTTAACAAGGGAACAGTTTCAGAGGGTAATTACTAGAAAGGTTAAGTTACACGTTCTAATGATGAAGTAAACATGATCAAATTGAACCCCATAGTTGAATCTAAGAATGAAGAAAACATGATCAAATTGAACCTTATAGTTGAACCCAATGATGAAGTAAACATGATCAAATTGAACCCCATAGTTGAATCTAAGAATGAAGAAAACATGATCAAATTGAACCTTATAGTTGAACCCAATGATGAAGTAAACATGATCAAATTGAACCCCATAGTTGAATCTAAGAATGAAGAAAACATGATCAAATTGAACCTTATAGTTGAACCCAATGATGAAGTAAACATGATCAATTTGAACCGTATAGTCGAACTTAAAGATGAAGGAAACATGATCAAAATGAACCTCATAGTTGTACCCAAGGATGAAGTAAACATGATCAAATTAAAAATTATAGTTGAACCCCAGGATGAAGTAAACATGATGAAATTGAACATTATAGTTGAACCCAAGGATGCAGTTAACATCATCAAATTGAACATTACAGTTTAACATGTGGTTTGAAGTTTACATGAGTGTCCATTTGTACCTTTACTTGAATACTTAAGATTTGTCTTGCTTATTTGTAGATGTATAGGCGTTTGCAGCAACAAGCTGGATTCATAGAATTTGCACAACAGCATTTTGATGAGTGTAGGGAGCTCTTTAAAACTGGAAGATTGGATGTCAGAGAGGTACACAAAGTTTGGCTGACACATTTAGCCTTTGTGGTTTTGTTACATGATCCATAAGCCGTCATTCAACTGAATCTCTCCTGCCCTAATTCAGTCATTCAACTGAATCTCTCTTGCCCCAATTCAGTCATTCAACCGAATCTCTCTTGCCCCAATTCAGTCATTCAACTGAATCTCTCTTGCCCCAATTCAGTCATTCAACTGAATCTCTCTTGCCCTAATTCAGTCATTCAACTGAATCTCTCTTGCCCCAATTCAGTCATTCAACTGAATCTCTCTTGCCCCAATTCAGTCATTCAACTGAATCTCTCTTGCCCCAATTCAGTCATTCAACTGAATCTCTCTTGCCCCAATTCAGTCATTCAACTGAATCTCTCTTGCCCCAATTCAGTCATTCAACTGAATCTCTCTTGCCTCAATTCAGTCATTCAACTGAATCTCTCCTGCCCTAATTCAGTCATTCAACTGAATCTCTCTTGCCCCAATTCAGTCATTCAACTGAATCTCTCTTGCCTCAATTCAGTCATTCAACTGAATCTCTACTGCCCTAATTCAGTCATTCAACTGAATCTCTCCTGTCATTCAACTGAATCTCTCCTGCCCCAATTCAGTCACAACAGGGCAACCACATGGCAAACCATTTCGGGAAAGACTTGTAGTCATGGATTGAGCTCCTTATGTAATAAATAAAGGCATTAACAATTTTTATCTATGTTAAGACAAATTGACCATACAAACCTAGCCATAGATACCAAAATCATTGTACTAACTGCCACATGGGCTTGAATATGACTACAAATATATTCATGTTTTGGCATTCTATAGGGTCAAGGTAATAGAATATGCTCTAGGGGTATATATCTTTTATTGACTCAATAACCATGTCATGTAAATGACATATCAGTCACAACAGTGTACAAAAAACTACAAACTACAACTACATATTACAAAACTACTTTACATAAGATTCACATGTCAGGGTATGATAACAGAATATCAGTGTGATGTATCAATAATACATGTGCTTTTAGTCAAATGCTAAAATCCTTGTCTGCAAACTTTAAGAAAAACTGCTTCACAGTTGCTTTTAAAACTTTAACATCTTGTTCAGCTCACTTCATTCTAGATCTGATTAGGTTTTGGACCTGCTAGCTCAGTCATGTCAGCCATTTTGAATGTCTTAAGAAAAGTTAGCGCGCGATAATACTTTGTATCATATTGAATGGTGTTTTTGAGTTTTCATACTTTAACTATTTAGTAGCTTTATAAATAATTTCAGATGTACTTTGTTGTAAAAGCCTACTTTATTGTTAACAGTAGTTATATGTGATAATTTTGTAAAAAGAAATCAGCAAAAACTCATAAGGACTTTTTTATTGTTGGCCATTTTGGATTTTTTGGTCCTAAAAACTTGTCTGTTAAGTCTTGTCTGCGCGTTTTCAGGTGAACCGTTTGGTGGATCAATTTCAAATTTTCAGGGATGATTCTTAGTACAAAAATCTAGATTTCATTAGTTTTTTGGCATTCTGGGTAAATGTCAAGGCAGCCATTTTGGATTTTCCGTCCTAAAATCTTGTCTGTAAAGTCTTGTCTACTCGTTTTCAGGTAAACTGTTTGGTAGATCAATTTCAAATTTTCAGGAATGATTCTTAGTATGAAAATCTAGAACTGATTAGTTTTTTTGCATTCTGGGTAAATGTCAAGACAGCCATTTTGGATTTTCCGTCTTAAAATCTTGCCTGTAAAGTCTTGTCTACGCTTTTTAGGTGAATGGTTTGATAGATCAATTTCAAATTTTCAGGGATGATTCTTTGTATGAAAATCTACATCTGATTAGTTTTTTTGCATTCTGGGTAAATGTCAAGTCAGCCATTTTGGATTTTCCATCCTGAAATCTTGTCTGTAAAGTCTTGTTTACATGTTTTCTGGTTAACTGTGTGACGGATCAATTTCAAATTTTCAGGGGTGGTTCTTCGTATGAAAATCTAGAAGTGACTAAATTTTGGGCATTCTGGGTAAATTTTAAGGTGGCCACTTTGGATTTTCCGTCCTCAAATTGTGTTGGTAAAGTCTTGTCTACTCATTTTCAGGATAACCATTTGACGGGATCACCACTTGGTGGGGACATTTTGTACACATTTGTGTTCTTGTATTTTGAGTACCGCCCAACTTCTATCTGTAATTTATGTGAACTCATCCTGAACCTAGTTAATGCATGTCTATACTTTTTATTATTTTGAATGTTTAAATATGATTCTTTGGTGAAAGTATTTTTGAATTTTATATAGGTCCTAAGTACAGGAAAAGTAAGAATATCCTGTTTCCATCGAAGTGCATAATTACTTTTTAATTTCTTTGTGATCATTTGAATGAATATATAATCCTCTTGAACATTTTGAGTCAACCAATGAGAAACTAAATCACATTGTTTTAATATATCAATAATTTTACTGGACCAAGTGCCAGAGTAACCTAAACCCTTCATTTCAAGGTCATACAAATATGATTTATTGAGCATATTTTCTTCAGGTAATTTCATTAAACACAGCCAATATTTTAACAAGTTCATTCGTTCATTAGAGGTATATATGATCCTTCAACTTGTTTAGTATTTAAGGAGTTTGGATGTACAGTAATTTAATGGTAGGATACGTTAATGTCGAACGTTCTAATTTAAACAAATTGTTCTACAGTCCATTTACTGTATATTATATGTTAATTCTTTTCAGCTGATCAGTCTTTACCCATTCCTCATGCCACAGAGATCTTCATTCACTCGTTCTGTCCCATCTCTTCATGATATTGCTGACGTGAGACAACTTGCACGCAATGATGCCACTACTATCAAAACATATAAGGAATTCTTGATGAGTTATCTTGAGGAGAATAAAGCTGATGCTGGAAAATCGAACAATTGTTGTATGGTAGGCTTTACAATAATGTCATTTCGGCCTTCGGCCCTGTGTCCAAAATTTCACTATATTGTCCGCATATATATTCCCGGTATTGCACATAACATCATTCAATATTTGTATAGTATTTTAGCCTTTATAGACTGTTGATTGATCCTTGTATTTCCAGGAGATAGACACAGCATTATTGAAACTATATGCAGAGCTAGATCCTTCTAAGCTGTTAATGTTTATTGGAAAGAGTGTCTGCAAACTGTCAGATTGTGTTGAGTTGCTAGAAAAACATGAGCGCTTCCATGCACTAGGACTTCTTTATCGCTACAATGGTCAACATGCAAATGCTCTACAAGTCTGGAAAAGGTAAATAAAGCAGCATTTCATGAAGACAACCCTCACAAATACATGCACATGGTCTTCTCTTATCATGCAAACATAAAACGGCCAGTTAAGTTTTATTAAATGTGTATCATTCCTTAATTTACACATTTCATTTATTGTAAAATAATATGGGGAAATGCATTTATATCAACTATTCTAATATGATATATGATGTCACAATAACTAGAAACATTTATTCACTGGTCTATAACACGACTGGAGAAAGTTTAGTTGAATTGCTAAATGAATAGGCACACAACATGGTAAAATATGATAGGTCTTCTAGGATTTCTTTGAACTGATATGCTTCTAAGATATGAGATCTATTAAAAAGGTGCATCGTCACTGACATGCAAAAGTCAATGCTTTTACTATAAATCGCCGCATCCCCCTCACAATTATTGACCTTGGCTTTGTGGAGGCATCGTTTTTGGCGTCGACTTTCCTTCCAACCCTATGACATGCATCTGTGTCCTCTGTTTCAAGCTCAATACTGATGTCAGTGGCTATTTTACGAACTGTCTGGCTACAAACTTCATCATCCTTTTCCTTTACACCTGTAATTTTGATATTTGATTTCCTTGAGTATTGTTCATTGTAGTTAGCATGTTGTTCAATTTCGAGTAGTTTAATATTCTGATTATTGATTTGTGGAGGAGCTCGTTCCATTGATCCTGTTTGCCCCTGTAATAATTTACTTTCTCACCTCCTTCCACCTTGATTTTAAGTGTAACCTCAAATTATAATATAATTATTATCCCATCGAACGAAGTTCGGAGGGATATAGGGAATGCCTCCATACGTCCGTCTGTCCATCAATCCGTACGTACATCCACCTGTCCGTCCAGCCGGGCAATAACTCAAATACCGTTGGCCCGATTTTGTTCATATTTTGTACACATATACCTAATTGGGGTAGAAGTTCTGCTCGAAAACCGATTTTCAAAATGGCTGCTCATTTAAAAATGGCGGCCATTTTAGTGCCGATTTTACAGTAAGTTGGGTACTGCATATAAAACTGTAATAGCAATATGTTTTAAATGTAAAAAAGTTATACAGGTCATTGATTAAGCTAGAAATGTAAATATAGAAGAAATACATGCCAGCCATCTTGAAAAATGGCTGCCTTTGCACGGCATTTTACGATTTTTGCTGTAACTTGAAAAGTAGTGGAGCGATTTTGTTCATATTTGGTATGTGAATACTTTAAGCATGGCACAATGTCTAATGACATTTTTGGTAGTAGGCGGCCATTTTGAAAAATGGCCGCCATTTTTACTTGTGTTATTTAACATTTTTTACTGTAAGTCAAAAAGTAGTGGAGCGATTTTGTTCATATTTGGTATGTGAATACTTTAAGCATGGCACAATGTCTAATGACATTTTGGGTAGTAGGCAGCCATTTTGAAAAATGGCTGCCATTTTTATGTGTGTTATTTGACATTTTTAACTGTAAGTCAAAAAGTAGTGGAGCGATTTTGTTCATATTTGGTATGTGAATACTATAGGCATGGCACACACACTTTGGGTAGTAGGCGGCCATTTTGAAAAAATAGCCACCATTTTTATGTTTTTTATTTACTATAACTTGAAAAGTAGTGAAGCGATTTTGTTCATATTTGATATGTGAATACTCATGAGCCTTGCACACTGTCTCATGAAACTTCGTGTAGTAGGCGGCCATTTCAAAAATGGCTGTCATTTTTACATTTTTTACTACTCGAAAAGTATTTGAGCGATTTTAATCATATTTGATATGTGAATACTTTAAGCACATTGTCTAATAAAACTTTGGGGAGTAGTCGGCCATTTTGAAAAATGGCCATCATTTTTATGTGTGTTATTTTACATTTTTTATTATAACTCAAAAAGTAATAGAGTGATTTTGTTCATATTTGATATGTGAATACTAGTAAGGATTGCATACTGTCTTATGAGATTTTGGGTAGTAAGCGGCCATTTACAAAATGGCAAGCATTGGCCATTTTTTAAGAATTTTATATGTTGCTACTTAAAAGCATATTACTTCTTCTGATGACAACTTGGCTAGTGATCAACCATTTTGAAAATGGTGGCCTTTCTTATTATTTATTTATTTTATTTATTCAGTAAGCTATGTATTAAAATACAGACAATGAGCAGGTTTCATGTATTGTGTATATCCGACATCTGCCAGTTTTTGTTAAACTTCTCAAATGCTTTAGAGACATTACTGTCAATCACCTTTTCAATTATCATTTGGTTTGTACCATAATGAAATAATACTACTCCCCTCTCTTTTCTCTGATAAAATCAAGTGATTTAATGAAATATTTTGTTCAGTGAGATTTACTTCTCCTGAGAGTTGCTGTGAAGCTAATATAGATATGAATTTATCTCACAAAAGACAAATAAATGATCACCCAAAGTTGTATTTAAATAGTGGTGAAATTGAATTGTCAAAATATGAATGGCTTGTTTTATGCTTCTAAACATGCCACAACTGTAATTGGCCTCATTATACTTGTAAGTATTGTGTATGAATAAATATGTAATATTTCTTAGCAAAACTAACTTGTGTGTTACAGATTGACGAATGGTGAAGTGACTGATGTTCTTTTTCCTGGTTTAGAATATGTTGTGCAATATTTATCGAGGTAAGTCTCAGACTTTAAATATATCTTCAAAAAATTCTTTGCTAAGAATATAAATACTATATTTCTTGCTAAGTTCTTGACTAGTGCCATATCACCTGACCCTATATGATGGAAGGGGTCAACATATTTTATATAACATTTCAGTAGGAAATCTACTGTAAAATGTTATCATATTGATGTATCACTTTAAAGGAAAGGTTTGAAGTACTTGTTTGAAATAGAACAAGACATTTTGAAAAACAAACCACTTGAATGTTCTAGTTAGCTCACATGGTGAGCTTTTGCAATCACTCACTTGTCCATCTGTCTGTCCATCCGTCCACAATAGTGGCACGTTTTAAAACCTCTATCGATAGGTCGATATAGTTTAGGTACACTAATGCATCTTTTGTGCAAGAATGAAAGATGTAGACGATGTGTGGTATGGAATCTTTTCTGCATCTTTATTCGATTTTCACACTTTTGTATTTGATTACAACCATTCGATATTCCACTCTATTAAAATAATTCGAAACACGTACTAAATTTGTTTGTTTTTACACATTTATATTTGATTTATGTACCTTTATATGCGGTAAATGCACTTGTATATGCGGTTTTTGTTATTCAGTGTTTGGTAAAATATCGCATATTGAAGTCCATGTACACACACGAACAAAGACGGTTGACAAATATATTTAGAACACGCATCAAATACAAATACACTTTAGAACAAACAATGTTCATTTACCGAACAATCATAGAGTACAAAATAGCACGGACATATAGTGACTTACCCCACATAATTAATGACATGTACTTTCGCATAAAATTATATGGGGTAAGTCACGTGACTTACCCCACATAAATGACACATGCTGCATGTGGCATAAAACCATTCGGTAAATCACGTGACCAGTGACGTAGAAATTATTTCAAAATGGATGAAACAAGCGAGGAAAAAGAATTTGAATACGATTCATATTCACAATTCAGAGAGGAAATTGAGAAGTTATTAGATCATTACAACAGGCATGAGTCTACAAGCGATCCTTTCTTAATAGAAGATCCGTTTTCGCGATTGGAGAATCACACCAGAGCTCTTTGAATATATAGATGGCGCAAGTCACATGGTCGAAGTCACGTGACTTACCCCACATCAAAACAGTGAACATTGGTTTATATAAAAGCATTCGGTAAGTCACGTGACTTACCCCACAAATTAATATGTTTACCACAAATGAATGTTTACCCAATACGAATGGTACTTGGCATAGCACATATTTAAAATACTTATCAAATTTATATTTGATCGGGTCGAATACAGTTTTGAAGCATTTTACATATTTGTTGTGTAAGACAGTCAATTATATGTGGGATAGTAGGTACCATTTGTTGTAACTGGTTTTGTTAATGTTTGGTTTAACTTACTCCGTGGGGTAAAAACCGAATATATTAATGTTACGAATATTGATGCAATAAATACACTATAGTGTGGAAGGAGTTATGCTTATCTGAAAATAGCATATGGTCATGAAATTTCATCAAAGCGCACCCTGACCTTAACATTTACCCAGAAATGGTTTGGCTTGAAACCTGTAGACAAGCATCGACAAACAAGATTTTAGGACGGAAAATCCAAAATGGCCACATTAACATTTACCCAGAATGCCCAAAAACTAATCAGTAAGCTTTCATGTAGAAACATACCTGAAATTTCAGATGAATTTATGAAATGGAAACCTGTAGACGAGCCTTGACAGAAAATCCAAAATGGCCACTTAAGCATTTATCAATATTGCCCAAATACCAATCAGTTCTAAACTGTCACACTTAGAAACATCTCTGAAAATTTCAGATGAATCCCTTAAACGGTTTGGTTGGAAATCTGGAGACATGCCTCGACAGACAAGATTTCAGGACAGAAAATCCAAAAAATGGCCTCCATAAAATTTACCCAGAATGCCCAAAACTAATCAGACCTTAAGTTTCATACGCAGAATCACCCATGGAAATTTCAGATGAATTCCTGTAATGCTTAGACTGGAAACCTGTAGACAAGATTTATCGGGACACCTGCAAAACCAAATTTTTTCAATTGGCAAACAGAGTTTCCATAAGCCAGCTCTCCTGTTTTTTTGCTCTACATGTATGTTAAATAAAATTCAGTTTTGTTTGTTTCTTCAGTTTAAGTGACCACACCCTGGTATGGCAATATACAGATTGGATCATACAGAAGGATGAATGCCTTGGTGTACAGGTACTCAAATCATTGGGGGATCTAGATAGCTTTTGTAATCTGCATGGGTAGGCAACTTTTGATGGGACAGGAAAAGTGTGTACCCCAGTGCCTGACAGATTTTTTGAATGAAATGTGAACCCCAATAAACAATAAACATCCATGTTACTCATGAAAATTGCATTATAAAAGACAATTAATGTGTATAAGATTAAGTTCAGACATCTGAAATACTTGTTTTAATAATGTTGTGTGTCCTGGCTTTCTGAACTATGAATGTGGATAGAAAGGTGATGTTATTACCATTGTGCTTTTCTTTACTATTTCAGATATTTACCAATAGGCCTGCAAATGAGACTCCTTCCGACAAGCTACAGCCAGACAACATACTAGACCAATTACATAGGTACCCGAGAGCAGTCATCACATATCTAGAATATTTGGTCTTTCAGAAAAAATCGCAGGTTAGTTCTTACAAAACTATTCTAGACTACACATTTCGACTTTTAATGGCAATAACAAGCAGAATTCGAAAAATGGTGACAAAGAAATGGAATATGCGCTTTATGTGATCAAAATGTGAAAGACACTATCCAGCATATACTTTTGTATACCCTTTCTTGGTAACCATAGAAACTGTTTTTATAAAAATGTAAAAGAAAAATATAATCCAGCACTATTGCTGGGTCTCTTATCAGCCAGTGTGCAAATTAAAACATGTTGGGCCTTAGGAGAGGACATTTTCACATTGCGGGGACAAGAATAAGCATTTTAAAATGAGTGTGTAACCTGCAGACCCAATAACATGTTTGAATTACTATGCCTTAGCATTTCAATGTATTGTTAATTTAAATGTTTTAAAGAACCATGTACAACTGTACACTGAATTTGTGTTCTGCTGTATCAAAGGTGATTCAAATAAATATAATATAGGGATTTCAAAAAATATACAGGCAGGTACTGATACTTGACAGTAAACTAATATTTGTTCCAGAAGGAAAAGTACCACACACATCTTGCAGTGCTTTATCTAGACAATGTCTTTAAACTGTTAGAATCATCAACATCTAGTAAGGAGAATATTGACAGAGAAAGGTAGGTAGATCATTTACTTGCTAAGGAGCAGAGATAATCATTTTGAAATCACCCTAAAACACCCGAAAAACAAATGATTGACTTGAAATCCATGCAGTGATCACATAGATGTTTTATAGACAAAATTGGGGTGATGCATAACAAAGACTTCCATTTCCCTCGAGCAACCTCACAATGATGATTGTCATGTCATGTAAATGCATTGTTAAAATGATAATGTTTTATATTACAACATACATTCTGTTATAGAGCTGTAAGGAAGAGGTAGACAATCATCAGAATATAAGTTTGTGTTTAGGGGAAAAAAGTGCTTTTTGGTTATGAATAATCAAATTACTGATAAGTTCTTATGTTGGACCCAACTCAGGGGTTGTGTTTCCTGTCTTTGTAGTAATAATTATTTTTATTTGCTAGTTTTGTGTCTAGAAATCCCCCCTTTCATTACTGTAGCAATAGAATATTCCTTATAATGGTGATTAGTATTGCTTTATTTGCTATGTAAATGTTCTTGTTGTTGCCTGTTTTAGGTGTAAACTAAGACATATGCTACAGACATCCAACCTATACAGGGTGCAGTTACTTTTAGGCAAAGTGAAGGAAACAGACATGTATGCAGAGTCTGCCATCTTATATGGAAAGGTAGGTACACATTAGAATAATACTTTGTATGTTTATAGTATTTATTTGGGGAGGTTTTTGACTAATTGTTTGAAGTTATTAGAGATCCTAAGCTAGCATTATTTTTGTGAACATGAATGGGAAGATTCACCTACATGAACTTACAGGTCTTGAGTTTTTTGTTTTGTTTGACTCATGTAAGGGATCTAATAACCTATCCAATGGGGACTTTCAATTGCAAAACTTTCTTTTTTTGAAAATGTTATTATTTTGATTAATTGGTTTTATGTGTGTTTTATGGGAGTTAGTCAGTGATTTAAAGATGTAATACTATTTTTGTTATGATTATAAGGATCTATAAAGTTCTATCAGAACTACTCTAAATATCACGTAAAGACAAGATTAAGAATCTTCTTTATATCAAAACATTTACATGCTTTATTGACTTGAACTCAGAGTTGTACATTTTGGTAATCTCACATATACTAGTACTTTGAGACAAACAGTTTTGGTAGTAAGTTAGCATATATTATGACATCTCCCCTTAAGATTACAAAATGTATGTATATGTAAAAAAGTCACTAAAGTATTTATGAAGTTATTTCTAATACATAAAGTTATTTCTATGAACTTTCTTTTGGTACTTTAGTATCACTTTAAATGTTTATGTACTTTAGTATCACTTTAAATGTTTATGTCCCTAATCTCTGTAACGTACTGGTTTATTCACAACAGTTCCAGTTTGTGACCTAGTTTGCATTCTACCACTAGGTTGAACATCATCAGGTTGTGGATTAGGTTGTTCAATAGACAATGGTGCAGTTACAGCTTGATCACTGGGTAATATGTGATCTTGAACAGATGTATCAGAACTAATGGTTCCATTAGCCTGAATGGGAGTTGTGGTTTCATCTAATGGTTGACTAAAGTCAGGGACCTTCAAAATATGACTGCGATTTCGCCTATATATCCCATTACCTGTGTCTACAATGTAAGATCTTGGACTTTCATGTGAACATTTCACTTTCCCTTTAACATTCCAACCCTTTTCCCCCTCCCGTTTTAACAGGACATTTTGACCCGGTGTAAGATCAGTCAATGGTTGCACACCATGGCGCCTGTCAAAGTAATGTTTGTGGGAGCTTTTGGCTTTCTCATCATTCATTTTGACAACTTTCAAGTTTGGCCATTTGGGTTTTAGGTTGGTAGCCAAAGTAGGTATGGTTGATTTGATTTTTCTCCCCATCAGTAACTCAGCAGGAGAAACTTGAGTAGATGCATGGGGTGTTGATCTATATGACAGTAAAGCTAAGCATGGATCATCTTGGTGAAGGAAGCGTTTCAATACCTGAACTCCCCTTTCTACTTGACCATTACTTTGCGCAAAATTTGGACTAGAAGTCACATGTTTGAAATTGTATTTACGGGTGAACTCAGCAAATTCCGCACTTTTGAATTGTGGACCATTATCTGAGTTTAAAGTGTCGCAAATACCAAATCGCGCAAAAATAGCTTTAAGCTTGTCAATCACTGTCTTTGTAGTTGTATTCTTTTCCAATCTTGCAACTTCCGGAAATCTCGAAAAATAGTCTACTACCACGAGCCAATGCTTACCTTTGTATTCACATAAATCTGCTGCAATTTGACTCCACGGACGATCCGGTAGTTTTGTCGGGATTAATGGTTCTTTTCTCTGAGCATTCCGGTAGGTTGCACAATGCGTACATTTGTTTACCATATCTCGGATCTCACCGCTCATCCCAGGCCAATACACTGAACCGCTAGCACGTGCACGACATTTATTAATTCCCAAGTGTCCATGATGGATACGCTCAAGAATCTCAGCACGTAAACTACTCGGAACTACGATTCGTGTACCGTGTAATATGAGATCATTTTGTATACTAAGCATTCCACGCTCCGAAAAGTATGGTTTTAAATCAGGTGGCACTGATTTTACGCTGTCAGGCCAACCTTTCATGATCATATCTCGCAAACGGATTAAATACGGATCTGTTCTGGATGCAGTTTTTATCAATTCAATCAGATAATCTGCAATAGGACGATTTTTCTCAATCGCTTCAACATGTTGTTCAATTTCGTTCTGTTTCTCGATAACGTCACAATCGTATGGCAATGGATCACGACTTAGAGTATCCGCAACGACCATATCTCTACCAGGCACATATGTTGCTTTTACATTGAACCGCATAAGTCGCATCAATAAACGTTGTGTTCTGATTGGTACCTGATCAATGTCTTTTGTGTTAATCAGTGGAATCAATGGTTTGTGATCAGTGAGTAGTTCATAATCTAAACCAATGAGATATCGTGAAAATTTCTCTGAACTCCACACTGCCGCTAAGCACTCTTTCTCTATCATGGCATATCGTTTCTCGGTTTCTGACAATGAACGTGATGCATATGAAACAGGTTTCAAAATACTGCCATGTTTTTGCCATAAACATCCACCGATACCGTAGCTACTTGCATCTGCGCTCAGAATAGTCTCTTTCTGTGGATCATAAAATGCTAGAACCGGTGCGTTACTTACCAGTGCTTTGACATCATCAAAAGCTTTCTGCTGCATTGTGTCCCACGTAAACACTGTGTCTTTTTTCAATAGACTGTACATCGGGGCTGCAACTGTAGACATCTTTGGAATGAATCTTCCAAGAAAATTGATCGATCCAAGCACACGTTTCAATTCTGTCTGATTAGTAGGTGGTTTCAATTCTTGAATAGCACGTACTTTCTCCGCTGATGGACTTATCCCATCTTTTGAAATGGTAAAACCCATGAAACTTACCTTGCTCTGAGAAAACTTGCATTTTGCTTTGTTCAGTTTGATGCCAGCTGTCCTAATCTTCTCCAAAACCGCTGACAACCGTCGATCATGTTCCGCAGTATCTTTACCATGAACAATTAGATCATCGATAAATATCTCTACACCGTCAAGACCTTCGAACGTTTCCATCATGATTCTTTGGTATAACTCGCTCGCAAAATTCAGACCGAAAGGAACTCGATTGAATTTGAAACGGCCAAAAGGCGATATGAACGTTGTTAGTAACGAACTTTCATGTTCAAGGGTTAGACCCCAGAAACTACTTGAAGCATCGAGCACGGAAAACACTGTAGAATTTTTCATTTTATGTACCAAGTCTTCAGTTGACGGAAGCATAAATTTCTCGCGCTTTATGTTTTTATTCAACTGGCGAAGATCTACACAAATTCTTGGCTCTGGATCATTGCGTTTTTCAACCGCGACCATTGGCGCACACCAATCGGTAGGTTCTGTAACACGCGAAATAACACCTTGCTTCACCATTTTCTCCAGTTTAGCTTTAACTCTAGGCATAAGGGGTAGACTAACACGTCTAGAAACTGGTATGCAATATGGGGTAGCATCATCTTTGAGCTTAATCTTGATTGGCTGATATTTGATTTTACCTACATCTCCAAAAATATCAGGATCACTGACTCGATCTTTCACCTTAGATTCAAGTTTAGGTACTCGTAATTCATGAATACGCTTGATAAGACCCATCCCTGTGGCACACCCTCTTGACAGGAGATTTGAACCCTTGGGATTATCTACGACATGAATACTTGTTTTGAAAATCTTCCCTTGATGTTCAATCTTGGCCTTAAATTGACCCAAACTCTTGATTCTACCTCCCAGACTATTAAGTTTGGACTTAGATGAAACCAGGGGTGGTTTTGACTGAAATTTCTGATAAGTGGAATAGTTAATTACAGACACGTCTGCACCACTGTCAAGTTTGAACTTAATACCCTCCCCACATACCTTCAGTTCTTGGTACCATGGAGGTTCATTATCGTTGGTAATCATCTCATCCAAGTTGATCACAACTTCCTCAAGAAAATCTGTAGCCTGAGCCTCGTATATTTCACCGAGATACGAATCACCATCTGTCGAATCACAATCTTCAACATTATGGGCACTATGTGTCGATTTCAACAACAATTTACGGCAAGCACGTTTGTAGTGTCCTTTGGATTTACAATATCGGCAAGTCTCGTTATGGGCTGGACATTTGCCCTTGTCATGTTGTAGCAGACATTTGCCACACTTTATATTATCCTGTGAACTCGATTTACTTTGACTGTAGCGTCCTTTGACACGATAATTGTTTTTCTTAACAGCGTCCACCGAAATCGAAGGCGACCCTTCATTTGAGGTAATGACTGATTCCCTCAGTCGTGCCATCTCAATTACTTTCGCCAAAGTGAGTTTCGTATAGTCCATAATCTTCAATTTGTCGGCAAGCTCTTTATTTTTCATTCCAACAATTAATTGGTGCATTATTTCTCGATCCTGGACTGTTTTATCTCCAAATTGACAAACTTCACACTTGTCGTATAGTTCCCTCAAGAAATTATCAACACTACTGGTTTGAGCTAGGTTGTGAAACTGTCTTTGTTCCTCTATAATGTTTACCTTGGGTACAAAATACTGCTCAAATTTCTTGGAAACTGTCTCATATTTGTTTTTATCTTGGTCTTCAGAATACGTAAAAGTATTGTAAATAGTCTCAGCCTTTGGGCCCATGACATATATCAAAGTGTCAATCTGATTAGATTCAGCTTCAGTTTTCAACTTACTAGCTGTCCTAAATCTCTCAAACCTGGAATTCCAATGTCTCCATAACTTGGGTTGAGTCACATCAAATTGCTCGGGTGGTTCCAATCTATACATGTTTCCTTGTTCTATGAATCTGACACCATATAAGGATCTATAAAGTTCTATCAGAACTACTCTAAATATCACGTAAAGACAAGATTAAGAATCTTCTTTATATCAAAACATTTACATGCTTTATTGACTTGAACTCAGAGTTGTACATTTTGGTAATCTCACATATACTAGTACTTTGAGACAAACAGTTTTGGTAGTAAGTTAGCATATATTATGACAATGATTACATGTGAACAAACTTTGTTTTGATTTGATATGATATTAGCATGATACATTTATGGGACTTGATGCATAGAGAAATGATATGATATGATAAATTAATGAAACTTTATATAGAGTGTAAAGATACTGGTTGTCTAAATTGTCCATAATATGATATTAATCGATGAGACTCCCAATTAGAAACTAATATGAACTCATGTAAATATCATGAAAATTTAATTGGTATAAATAATGATCTTAAAAAATCATCAAATGATGAATTAACAGCTTTACATGTTAATGCAAGGAGCCTGAACGCAAATAAATCAGCCTTACATGGCCCGATGGCACAATTCAAGAAAGACTTCTCTGTAATTGGTATCTCTGAAATTGGGCTAAATAGCAACATTGAATCATTATCTAATCATAATAAGTACATATTTTGACCACACCAATGGTGGCGGAACTGCTTTGTTTGTCCGTTAAGACTTAAATTCCAAATTTAGACCTGGCTTAAAATTAAATCCCAATGATTGCAACTCCACAACAATTGAAAAACTTCAATTCCAATTCAAAAAACATCATTGTATCTTGTATCTACAAACCACCTGATGTTAATATCAACATTTTTAACGAGAAATGCGAAGGATTTCTTCGCTCTTTATGTGCTGAGGACAAACCAATTTATTTAGTGGGTGACACCAATATTGACTTGCTAAGGTTGAATATCATAATCCATCTAATGATGCTGCATATTTTGCTCAGAGACATAAACTGGCAACCCAGTTTCTTACTTTAAATATTGTTTAGGCCATGCTGGCTGGTGGAGGTGGGGTGGGAGTGTGAGGTTGGATATATATTATCGACATGTAGACATATAGACCCCCTGTATTTTTCACGACACCAGATGTTTGAAAATAAATAAATGAAATGAACTAAAGTAATTACTACATGTATTGTCTTGTTCAGATGTACTGTTTATTTTTCAGAGATAATATAGCTAATAAAAACAAAATTTAAATATTTAACATAAATGACTACTGTACTCCCTAAGAACACCACATACAGTACTGTAGACCAAAAATACAGATAAAGTATTTTATTGGCTGAAAGATTATGCGATATACTTTTTAATTTCGGAGTGGCTCCAGGACCGACAATTGTCGGTACTGGAGACTGTCCAGGGGTATTTGCTGGGGTACCGACAATTGTCGGCACTCTATCGTCACCTAGTAGTGCCAGATAGAGAACCGACAATTGTCGGTACGCAAGTGGCTGCTACGTGTTTTTGCTAGAGAGCCGACAATTTCATAAATAAATCCACTACTTTTACTATTAGAGAAACCTCATCACTGGTAGTCTAGTGGTTACCAAGCACGACTCCAACACGCTCGGTCCCGAGTTCGAATCCCGGCAGGAACTACTTTTTTCTTTTGAGGGGGGGCATAGTGCTTCTTTTGCAGTATGGAATCGTACAGGCATTAACTTGTAGTGAGCCATAATTTATTTCGACAAAAATTGATTCAACTTCCATCAAAATTGTCCTACAAGCTTCAATTAAAAAACATTTTAAAGCTCTTTTCTTGTTCTATCTAATGGGTCGATATATACAGTTAGGGGAGGGGATGCTTTCGCCCCCGTCGACCTCTACCCTTACTACGCCATGGCACAGGAGAAATATCTCATTTGGAATATATCACTGTTTACTTTGCGTTTGGTAGCTCTCTCATTCGAGATGGAATCGTGGCCAAACTAAGTGAGCCAAATGCAACTTCCATCAAAAATTGTGCTATAAGGTATGAGTACCGTAATCCAACACCAAATTCGAAAATTCATAACAATACTTTGCACACATGGCGTTCATGACCAACTATGAAACGCTTACCCCCCCCCCCCCCCCCCCATAGTGTTATATATCAAAATGCACCTGTCCATATAGGGGTTCGATTGACCCACATCAAATTATAGGGAGTCAGGTTACTTTTTGAGATATCAGCGTCCGTTTATTGTAACTCGCGTTTGCTACCACTTCCTCAATTCTGATATGACGGGCAAACGCGTAGTAAACATGCTCACGTTCGGAACTATTTTGACCTACATCGCTATTTTCGTAATTTAAATGAAAGTTGAACTCCTCTTTATTTTGATACCAAATAGTGGCATACTAGGTACCCTAGAAGCCAACTATGGGTTATTTAGAACGATACTACAGGTTTTTAAATGGACTATATAGGGGTCATACCTTTTGGCGGATGGATATGGAACCTCATACCATACGATAAGCTTCAAATAAAAAACATTCTAGCTATTTTCTTCTATCTAATGGGTAGCAAACGCCCCTTTCTACGCCTGATCGGCTCAGGAGAAATATTCTGTCTGTTTAGGATATGTATAGCCGTTTACTCTGCATTAATAGCTCTCTAACGTCTTACTTGTTCATGTTTTTTATTTGGTTTTCAACGTTTACTACCATTCCCTGTTCCCGGGCTACCATTTTTTGACTGGGTTTGGTAATCCTCGGGTAACCGGGGCTAATGCCCTCCCCGGATTTTGCACTTGTTCCCAAAATATCCGTATGATATCTGAAATATCCCCCCGCGCATTGCGCATGCGCCAGAAAATTCGAAAATCAATATTTGTCGGTCCTCTAGCGTGTAAACACAGCATATCTCCCGTACCGACAATTTATTTGTCGGTCCTCTAGCGTGCCACCACATCAGAGTCTAGAGTACCGACAATTGTCGGTACTCTAGCCTTTACGTTTTAATTTGATGTTTTACAGTAGAACCGTTTTTATTTTTATAGCTATATTTGTCTGGTTTCAGCTTGGGGACCATGATAAAGCCATAAGGATTCTTGTACATAAGCTGAAGGACTTTGGCCAGGCTGAAAACTATTGTATATTGAATTCAAAAGGGAAAGATTCTTTCCATAGAAAACAGTTGTTCCACACATTGCTCAGTGTATACTTGGATCCTAGTTACGAGTAAGAGAATTTATCTGGTCTCATCTGTATATTCTGATGTCATTTTCCATATTATTAAAATGCCCTCTTAAAGGGACCATCTATTATTTCCTATGTTCACATGATGGGCTACTGCAATTAGTGTTCTTATCCCGGGGGGTTCACTGTATATAAAACTCGACGGGGGTCCTAGGCTGAAGCCTCAAATATCAATATGTTCCCATACCAATCTGTCAAATTTCAATATGTTCCCATACCAACCAAAATAACGCCCAAAGGCCATACCAAATGTCCAAATATAGGACCAATGCCATACCAAATGTCCAAATATAGGACCAATGCCATACCAAATGCCCAATTATGGGACCAATGCCATACCAAATGTCAAAATGTAGGACCAATGCCATACCAAATGTCCAAATATGGGACCAATGCCATACCTTAATTCAAAGTAAATGAAATATAGGATCAATGTCATACAAATTTGCAACTACTGGACCAATTCCATACCACGAATGTTAGGTAACGTATCTACAACGACCATTCTCATACCAGAAGAGCAAAAGTCCGACCATTGCCATACCTCAGAAGTCAGAAATTTCCGGGCATTCCCATACCAAATCCTAAAATATGGGTCCATTGCCATACCAAACGTTGAAAAAGGTACCCCACATGCGCCGAGGATCCCCGTCAAGGTTTATATTAGTGAACCCCCCGGGGTTCTTATCCATCTGTCTGTCCATCTATTTACAGTAGTGGCACAATTTAAAACCGTCCATACATTTGTATTTTGGTAACTGTCATATTTTGGCAAGCACTGTATTAGTATATTCCATATTCAGAAATCCCTTCTTCCTGTGTCCTTGAAATACATAATGCACAAACATATATTGTCTGAACTGGGAGTGACAGTGATATCCTTGGCTCTGTCAATGATTTATAGCAGGTGGACTACACGTCGATAAGATTCCAGTTTTATGTAATTTTTGCTAATTAGCAGGAGTTGAGCTAAGGTTTTGAGGGCAGCTTGTCAAAGAAGCATTATGGTCCAGTTGATTTGGTATATTCTTATACCTACTGAAAAAATCAACTGGTCTGTATAAAAAGTGACCCTTCAAATGACCAGTTAACCGACCCTTAGCTCAAAGCCTGCTTTTTAGTAGAGATTTCCCAACTCACTTAAAGCATGTTTGTTATTCCCGTATATCATATAACTATGAAGCGTTTGATTATGTATTGCGCATCTCCATATGTCCATAAGTGTGATATTCTTATAAATCGTCATCTATACATGAGAATATCACACCTGTGGACATTTAGAGCTGCGCAATATGTGATGACGTTATCAAATGCTTCATAAGTGATACGCTTTACGGGAATAATATATATTATGTTTATTATTCCTGTATAACTTATAAAGTGTTTTGATTACGTCATCATTTCTTGCGCATCTCTATATGTCCATAAGTGTGATATTCTTGTAAATCGTCAACTCTACGTGAGAATATCACACCTGTGGACATTTAGAGCTGCGCAATATGTGATGACGTTATCAAATGCTTCATAAGTGATACGCTTTACGGGAATAATATATATTATGTTTATTATTCCTGTATAACTTATAAAGTGTTTTGATTACGTCATCATTTCTTGCGCATCTCTATATGTCCATAAGTGTGATATTCTTGTAAATCGTCAACTCTACGTGAGAATATCACACTTGTGGACATTTAGAGCTGGGCAATATGTTATGATGTAATCAAACGCTTTATAAGTGTTATGTTATACGGGAATAATAAACATGCTATAAGTGAGTTGCAAAATCTCTCTATTCTTATACATTTGTTGTCTATTAGGTCTATACAGAAGAATATCACGCTTATGGATGTATAGAGGGGCGCAATAAATAATGATGTAATCAAATGCTCAATAAGTTATATGGGAATGATAAACATGATATAAATGAGTTGCGAAAGCTCTCTGTTAATACAAAAATATCTCTGATGACCCCCCAGTTCAAGATAACAAAGGTTGCACTAGGATTAAATTAGGTTTACGTCAGGACTGTGCAAGGCAGTTTCAACAAAATGTTGAATTGTACAGATATATTTTTATGTATTTCTAGACGCCGAGATCTCTTAGTTACACCTGCCGTGAATCTTCTAAACAATAACCAGGGAAACTTTGATGCAACTAAGGTAAAACCTGTAGGAAGACATGCCTACTAATTAATGAGTAAAGAAATGATAAAGAAAAGCTAAGGAAGGCCACTCAGAAAGGGCCTTCTAATAATAGACATATTAGTTAAGGAGGCCATTTTTGAATAATGTACATTCAGAGAATAATTTTGACTAAAACTAGGGATTAGGAATGTGTAATGCACCATTCAAAAGTTTGTGTGAGACTCCCTTTCCACGCAGGCATGGATGGGGAATTTGACAAAAAATCTTGGCCTGTCTAATTCCTAACCCCGGGGCCAAATAAATGTGTCAATTTCCCTACCCTTGGAGCAAAAAATCTGGTCAAATATTCGGGAACCCCGGATCCTTCCACCATTTGAAATCTATTTTTAAACATTAGATTTCCTTGTTAGTAGAGTAGTGCTCGTGAATGTTGAGGGATACACGTAAAGTACTTTGAGACACCATATATGGTCATAAGATTCTTCGCAGAAAGTCCACTATACATGTATATACATGCTACATTTAATTTATGAATGAAAAGTTTGCTTATGATTTACATATAACCTACAGGGTGGGCCAAAAAAAACGCCACTTTTTTTTCAAGACACTACAACTTTTTTATTTTCCAACCTACATACCCCAAATTTTGCAGTTATATAGTGCCAGGGGTTTTAAGTAATAATATAATGTAACAAGTCCTTCAACTTGGATTATATTTGATTTAAAAGAGGAGTTCAATTGGTCCGCCACCCTATTTGATGATATATTTTAGTTTTAGTTGCCTTGCTGATATAGCAGTATCAATGAAATGTTAGCTAAGTTTTTTTCAACCTGTCTTTATTGCCAGCTTTAGTTGAGTAATTTTCTCGATTGGGTGCCTTCATACAATCTCCTGGAAACCTTCCCATACCCTATACTCACTGGGGTTTGCATCGGGGCTATAAGCTTGGCGATCATCAGGCCGTATCAGTTCAGGAACATTTTGCAAATTATGCTTATTTCTCATGGCACACCACATGTTTAAGTGAGACGCTGGTAACATATTTTATTCAAGTAAAAGTGTTCAATTCATGATCCATGGCTAGATAACAACCTCAAGTTTCATTTGGTATGCTAATTATGATTTTGTATGAAAAATTAAAAAATTTATAGCATTTTGAAAAAAGTGGCGTTTTTTGGCCCACCCTGTATATACATAGAGAAGCAGCTTTTTAAATGATGCAGTTACCTGCGAAATTAAAAGCCACTGAGAATACAATCCATTTCATGATGTTTTCGCAAATTGTCTGAAAGATTTCACAAAAATAAGCCGAGAGGGACATGGTTTTACAAATGGATTTTATCTGTTCAACAAAAGTGGAGAACATACCTTTCTCATATGACTAACAAAGATACAGCCATCTTTATCCCATGGAAATATTGCCATCTTTCATCTTAAAAAGTCACACGTGCAACTGGAAGATGCAACAAACAGAGTTACCAGCCTGGGAAAAAACTACAATGTCAAGGTTATAGGAGTAACATACTAAATTTGTATACTAAGAAAGCTATAACAAGAAATAAATGGATATGTAATAAATACAATATGCAGGAGAATATCATCATGAAGCACTGGAAAATTAGTGAGGGAAGACAATGAATATGTAACAGTATATTTCCGCAAAGAGGGTAAACTATAAGAAGTTAGAAAACAGATCACAAGTAAGAGGAAGGAACTGACAGAAGACAACATAAGAACATCAGTAAGGGGAAGGGGAGAGTTTTCCGGCCGGATCAAAACGTTTAACCCACCTACGCTCAGTCTCAAGTCTATGGATCCTGAAGAAAAATAACTAACATCACAATCAAATCAAGGCAAAGAAAGAAGACAACGAATGAAGACACTAATGCAGCAACAACAAATGACGTCCGTCCATTTGCAAAAACTCAAATACCGGTTGACGGATTTGATTCAAATTTTATAGGCTATGCCTTATGGCGATAGAACCTCTGCTCGAGATGGAATTTTCAATATGGCTGCTTAATTCAAAATGGCCATCATTTTTCGTAAAAAATGTAATCTTTGAGTACTCACATACTAGTTGATGGATTTGGTTCAAATTTTGGACGCTGATGCCAAGGGACAAGGGAGCAGTGCTGTAGAAGAGATTTTCAAGATGGCTGCTGAATTTCAAAATGGAAGCCATTTTTCGTTAAAAAACATGATCTTTGATAACTCAAATACCAGTGAATGGATTTGGTTCAAATTTTATATGATGATGCCTAGGGACAAAGTAGATTTGTTCAAGAAGGAATTTTCAAGATGGCGGCTGAATTTCAAAATGGCCGCCATTTTTCATAAAAAACGTAATCTTTGATAACTCAAATATCATGAGAAAGAATTTTCAAGATGGCGGCTGAATTTCAAAATGGCCACCATTTTTCATAAAAAACATAAATCGCGTAGTCATGTATATTCTACAACATTGTTATGACGTCATAACAATTGAAAGATGAGTTCCATTGATTTGAAGCTATTTTCACTCAGGTACTCATACAAGAACCTCTATGTATGAACGATCATTTCTTGTGGAATGGCGGGCGGATTGTTGCGTTTGATGGGTAACAATCCAGAACAAATCCACATCATAGTAATTTTTAAAAGGTCTCTTGTAATTTATGCGATGACATATTTTAAGATATTGGTGACCTCCCTCCATTTTATTCATCTATATTAAATTGATAAAATTAAAGGTCCATGTGCAGTATGGCAAGTGATTTAAGACAGTCATATCTTTCACCATGAGTACTTTCTGGGTATAATCACAGTGGTTTTTATTAAAACAATATGTTTTCTTTCAAGTGAAGTTCCCGTGATGATAAAAATATCAATCGAACAATTCGAAAAATAAATAGGGACCCACGTCAACAATTTTTTCAAAATGTTGAACTTATTTGCTCAAAAGACGATCTTCTTTTTTCTGATTTTTATTGCACAAAAACATTATTCAACAAGGGGTCTAAAACATCTTCAAAAGTAGAATGGTATTGAAAGTCTTATTTTGAAGATATCAATTTTCGGTTACTAAAATCATGCTGAAAACAATGGATAGCATGAGTTTTCCCTATGGGAAAATAACATCGGAAATGTGGTTTTTAAATTTATCACATTTTAATACCCATCCCCTTTTCAGAACTTATTACTATAGTGTAGAAGAAACTTTTGAGACATTTAAATTGAGAAAAACAAAATCCTATTTTTAGAAAATAAGCCTTACATGTTTGAAAAAGTGACAATCCATAATTTTTGGCTCACACAGTGAGCCTATGGGATCGACCAGGCGTCCGTCCGTCCGTTGATCCGTCCGTCCGTTAGTCCGTCCGTTGGTCCGTCCGTCAACATTGGCCGCACAAATTAAAACTGCTATTGGGATTGAGTCATATCCACAGTCATTTTATGCAAATCCATAATGCCTATTTGACCTATCATCGCCATTTCCCAAGTTCGCCCGGTTTCCGAGAAATTGTTGATTTTGACGTCAAAAAGTCAAATTTTCTGTAAATACTAGACACTTTGTTGAAGTAGAACTTTCAAATAACTTGTAGTAGTTGCTGTAGATGCAACTTATGTCCTCTGAAGATTTCAAAGCTCTTGGAAATACAGTTTTTGGTGCTTACTTTATAAAATTTGACAAATAGTAGGACTTAGTCATTTTCAGGAAACTTTCTTATATATAAAGTCAATGGCAGGTTTTGTGATTGACAAGTTTCTCAAAGTTTGCCTTATACTTGATCATTTCTTGCAATGAATTACATCATAACTAGATTTAAGCATTCCCTACATATTGCTCAATATATGTCAGCATCAAATTTTTACCGTTTTTGAGATATTTGACGTAAAAAAACAGTAAAAATAAGTTATTTTTCAACTAGCTTCAATTTGACCAAATTATTTTTTTGAAAATCATCTACAAGTTACCAGGAGTTCAAATCTGACATTAGTTTTAGGATTTGACCTTTACTTGACCTTCAGTGACCTTTGAAATGTCAAAAAGGTTGATTTTTGGATGTAAATTTTTCAAAAATTGATTTTAAATTGAATTAATCATCTATATTAAATCAATTAATTTATGAAAAGCTTATAAATATAAGTAGAACGCGGAAGTGCATTTTTTCGAAGAGAGGGCGAAAACAAGCTTGACAAACCAATTATTACGACACTGCTCAGTATTATTCTAGAATTCCTCTCTCCAGCGGTTATTCAGTCAAAAAACCCCATTCCTGGCACATGTAAATCAAATTCCTCACCCCAGGGACATCGATCTTTGTCAAATTCCTACCCCTGGGGGCAATATTATGTATCAAATTTCTTACCTTCCCCGCGTTGGGGGAGGGTCTCATGCAAACTTTTGAACACTAACACTAACACTACTTGTACAGGGCATAGACATATACGGTGTATCATATGCTAGATTTATATTTGTAGGTGTTTTAGTTGATACCAGACAAGTGGTCTATTGGTCTACTCCAGTCCTTTCTTGCCAGCACTCAGCACTGTGAGGAAATATATGCATTACTTGTACTTGTAAGTGCTTCAGTTGATAGCACACAACTGGTCTATTGGTCTACTCCAGTCCTTTCTTGCCAGCACTGTGAGGAAATATATGCATTACTTGTACTTGTAGGTGCTTCAGTTGATAGCACACAACTGGTCTATTGGTCTACTCCAGTCCTTTCTTGCCAGCACTGTGAGGAAATATATGCATTACTTGTACTTGTAGGTGCTTCAGTTGATAGCAGACAACTGGTCTATTGGTCTACTCCAGTCCTTTCTTGCCAGCACTGTGAGGAAATATATGCATTACTTGTACTTGTAGGTGCTTCAGTTGATAGCAGACAACTGGTCTATTGGTCTACTCCAGTCCTTTTTGGCTAGCACTGTGAGGAAATATATGCATTACTTGTACTTGTAGGTGCTTCAGTTGATAGCAGACAACTGGTCTATTGGTCTACTCCAGTCCTTTCTTGCCAGCACTGTGAGGAAATATATGCATTACTTGTACTTGTAGGTGCTTCAGTTGATAGCAGACAACTGGTCTATTGGTCTACTCCAGTCCTTTTTTGCCAGCACTGTGAGGAAATATATGCATTACTTGTACTTGTAGGTGCTTCAGTTGATAGCACACAACTGGTCTATTGGTCTACTCCAGTCCTTTCTTGCCAGCACTGTGAGGAAATATATATGCATTACTTGTACTTGTAAGTGCTTCAGTTGATAGCACACAACTGGTCTATTGGTCTTCTCCAATTCTTTCTGGCTAGCACTGTGAGGAAATATACACATTACTTGTACTTGTAGGTGCTTCAGTTGATAGCACACAACTGGTCTATTGGTCTACTCTAGTCCTTTCTGGCTAGCACTGTGAGGAAATATATGCATTACTTGTATTTGTAAGTGCTTCAGTTGATACCAGACAAGTGGTCTATTGGTCTACTCTAGTCCTTTCTGGCTAGCACTGTGAGGAAATATATGCATTACTTATATTTGTAAGTGCTTCAGTTGATACCAGACAACTGGTCTATTGGTCTACTCCAGTCCTTTCTTGCCAGCACTGTGAGGAAATATATGCATTACTTGTACTTGTAGGTGCTTCAGTTGATAGCAGACAACTGGTCTATTGGTCTACTTCAGTCCTTTCTGGCTAGCACTGTGAGGAAATATATACATTACTTGTACTTGTAGGTGCTTCAGTTGATACCAGACAAGTGGTCTATTGGTCTACCCCAGTCCTTTCTTGCCAGCACTGTGAGGAAATATATGCATTACTTGTACTTGTGGGTGCTTCAGTTGATAGCAGACAACTGGTCTATTGGTCTACTCCAGTCCTTTCTTGCCAGCACTGTGAGGAAATATATGCATTACTTGTACTTGTAGGTGCTTCAGTTGATAGCAGACAACTGGTCTATTGGTCTACTCCAGTCCTTTCTTGCCAGCACTGTGAGGAAATATATGCATTACTTGTACTTGTAGGTGCTTCAGTTGATAGCAGACAACTGGTCTATTGGTCTACTCCAGTCCTTTCTTGCCAGCACTGTGAGGAAATATATGCATTACTTGTACTTGTAGGTGCTTCAGTTGATAGCAGACAACTGGTCTATTGGTCTACTCCAGTCCTTTCTGGCTAGCACTGTGAGGAAATATATGCATTACTTGTACTTGTAGGTGCTTCAGTTGATAGCAGACAACTGGTCTATTGGTCTACTCCAGTCCTTTCTTGCCAGCACTGTGAGGAAATATATGCATTACTTGTATTTGTAAGTGCTTCAGTTGATAGCAGACAACTGGTCTATTGGTCTACTCCAGTCCTTTCTTGCCAGCACTGTGAGGAAATATATGCATTACTTGTACTTGTAGGTGCTTCAGTTGATAGCAGACAACTGGTCTATTGGTCTACTCCAGTCCTTTCTTGCCAGCACTGTGAGGAAATATATATGCATTACTTGTACTTGTAGGTGCTTCAGTTGATAGCACACAACTGGTCTATTGGTCTTCTCCAATTCTTTCTGGCTAGCACTGTGAGAAAATATACACATTACTTGTACTTGTAGGTGCTTCAGTTGATAGCACACAACTGGTCTATTGGTCTACTCTAGTCCTTTCTGGCTAGCACTGTGAAGAAATATATGCATTACTTGTATTCGTAAGTGCTTCAGTTGATACCAGACAACTGGTCTATTGGTCTACTCCTGTCCTTTCTTGCCAGCACTGTGAGGAAATATATGCATTACTTGTACTTGTAGGTGCTTCAGTTGATAGCAGACAACTGGTCTATTGGTCTACTCCAGTCCTTTCTGGCTAGCACTGTGAGGAAATATATGCATTACTTGTACTTGTAGGTGCTTCAGTTGATAGCAGACAACTGGTCTATTGGTCTACTCCAGTCCTTTCTTGCCAGCACTGTGAGCAAATATATGCATTACTTGTACTTGTAGGTGCTTCAGTTGATAGCAGACAACTGGTCTATTGGTCTACTCCAGTCCTTTCTTGCCAGCACTGTGAGGAAATATATGCATTACTTGTACTTGTAGGTGCTTCAGTTGATAGCACACAACTGGTCTATTGGTCTACTCTAGTCCTTTCTGGCTAGCACTGTGAGGAAATATATGCATTACTTGTACTTGTAGGTGCTTCAGTTGATAGCAGACAACTGGTCTATTGGTCTACTCCAGTCCTTTCTTGCCAGCACTGTGAGGAAATATATGCATTACTTGTACTTGTAGGTGCTTCAGTTGATAGCACACAACTGGTCTATTGGTCTACTCCAGTCCTTTCTTGCCAGCACTGTGAGGAAATATATGCATTACTTGTACTTGTAGGTGCTTCAGTTGATAGCAGACAACTGGTCTATTGGTCTACTCCAGTCCTTTCTTGCCAGCACTGTGAGGAAATATATGCATTACTTGTACTTGTAGGTGCTTCAGTTGATAGCAGACAACTGGTCTATTGGTCTACTCCAGTCCTTTCTTGCCAGCACTGTGAGGAAATATATGCATTACTTGTACTTGTAGGTGCTTCAGTTGATAGCAGACAACTGGTCTATTGGTCTACTCTAGTCCTTTCTGGCTAGCACTGTGAGGAAATATATGCATTACTTGTACTTGTAGGTGCTTCAGTTGATAGCAGACAACTGGTCTATTGGTCTACTCCAGTCCTTTCTGGCTAGCACTGTGAGGAAATATATACATTACTTGTACTTGTAGGTGCTTCAGTTGATACCTGACAACTGGTCTATTGGTCTACTCCAGTCCTTTCTGGCCAGCACTGTGAGGAAACACATGCATGACTTCAGGACGACCAGGCTTCAGAGGATGTTGTCACGGGGAGAAAATCTCATTGTGAAAAAAGAAAGCATCGAAAGTCAAAGAGAGGCATTGCAATTAGTAGAGGAAAAGTAAGTTCATTGTTCTGTTGTTATTATCCCATCGAACGAAGTTCGGAGGGATATAGGGAATGCCTCCGTCCGTCCGTGCGTCCGTCCGTCCATCCGTGGGTCCGTCCATCCATCCGTCCGGGCAATAACTCAATTACTGTGGCCCGATTTTGTTCATATTTTGTACACATATACCCTATGGTATGGCCGCTCATTTGAAAATGGTGGCCATTTTAGTGCCAATCTTACAGTAATTTAGGTGCAATATGTAGAACTTTAATAGCAATATGTTTTGAATGTAAAAAAATTATATAGGACATTAATAAAGCTATAAATGTAGATATAAAAGGAGCACATGGCAGCCATCTTGAAAAATGGTGGCCTTTACTCATTATTTTATGATTTTTGCTGTAACTTGAAAAGTAGTGGAGCAATTTTGTTCATATTTGGTATGTGAATACTATAAGCATGACACACTGTCTAATGACACTTTTGGTGTCACTTTTTTGAAAAATGGCCGCCATTTTAACGTATTTTACTATAACTCGAAAAGTAGTGGAGCGATTTTGTTCATATTTGGTATGCGAATACTATAAGCATGGCACACTGTCTAATGACAATTTTGTTAGAAGGCGGCCATTTTGAAAAATGGCCCCCATTTTAACGTATTTTACTATAACTCTAAAAGTAATGAAACGATTTTGTTTATATTTGGTATAAGCATGGCACACTCTCTAATGAGACCTTTGCTAGAAGGTGGCCATTTTGAAAAATGGCAGCCATTTTTGCTATATACTTTGTTTGTAAAAATGCTAGCCATGGCTGTTCGATGGGATTTGCTACACTTTGGCGTTGCTGTTGTCTAGTTATTATTGTAATAGGGACATATCCTACTTGTTAATTTTATCTTTTTAAATGTCAGACAAAACATAACATAGTTTCTCAAAATACTTTTCAATTTATAATAAAAAATGTAAAATGGCAGTAAAAATAACGTGATTGCTCTTTGTACATTTCAATGTTGTGTCAGAACATGGACAATATATGATTGTTCTATGTACATTTCAATGTTGTGTCAGAACATGTACAATATGTGATTGTTCTATGTACATTTCAATGTTGTGTCAGAACATGTACAATATGTGATTGCTCTTTGTGCATTTCAATGTTGTTTTAGAACATGTACAATGTGTGATTGCTCTTTGTGCATTGCAATGTTGTTTCTTGACATGTACAATGTGTGATTGCTCTTTGTGCATATTAATGTTGTTTTAGAACATGTACAAAACGTGATTGCTCTTCGTACATTTCAATGTTGTGTCAGAACATGTACAATATGTGGTTGCTCTTTGTACATTTCAATGTTGTGTCAGACTTTCAATGTTGTTTCTGAACATGTGCAATACGTGATTGCTCTTTGTACATTTCAAGGTTGTTTCAGAACATGTACAATATGTGATTACTCTATGTATATTACATTCTTGTTTCAGGTCATGTGCAGTATGTGATCGCTCATTTGATGAACCTACATTCATCCGCTACCCTAATGGAATAATCACTCATACACAATGTGCCAAAAATAAACATGTCTGCCCAGTGACTGGAAAACTGTTCAGTACAACCAAAAGGACAAGTGCTTCTTGATTGAAATAGCTTGTTTGAAACATGTTTAAAATCATGTTTCTTCTGTTGTTGAACATGGAAAACAATGAACTTAATGAGAGTTGGAAAATAATTATAAAAATGATATGCCCACTAGGAAAAACATGTACTATTGTATGATGGAGCGGTTCATGATATAAGCGCATTAAACATGTTATATATAATATAAATGGACTTATAAAAATAAATTATAAATTATCAGTTCTGACTACTGTACATATGCTTATAGAATACGATGTAACAACATATTAGATGGTAGAAATGCTTACAAGTACAGGGTGGGCCAAAAAAAACCAATACCCAACTTCAAATCAGGATAAAAATATTTATGTTCAATATGGTACATTGACTTTCATATCATTTTAAAGGTAATACATTTTCAAACAATTTGGTATATTACACTCCGTCATATAATCAATAATAAAGGTATATCATACTTATTTGGGAGGCCGGGTCGATATTCAGGGTTTCTAGCTTTTAGGGAGAAAAAAGTAAATCTGCAGGATTATGTAATTTTTTTACTGATAGAATATCATTTTGTTAGGTGAGTACATGCTGGGATATTTGCATCATTGTGTGACTAAATTTATTGTATATGAATTCCAGTGTTGTAAAATAACATTTTACACTTCATAACAATTTTAACAATTGCTCAATATGCCCTCACCCTCTACGTCAACACTAAGTTTCAAGCAGTAGCGCCATCTATCAATAGCCTTATTGACAGATTTCTGTTGCAATTCATTTCAGCACTTTGGGATTCTGTGTTTCAGCTCATCAATACTGTTTATTGGATGCTTGTGATTGTACCATTTCCACCAGATGGCTCCATGTATGATAATCAGCCACATTAGCATCGGGACTGTTGGGTGGCCAAGCATCTAGATCGATCCAATTGACAGCTTGTTCGCAAAGGAATGCCAATGTCTCCTTTGTTCCATGGTACAAAGCAAGCAATGTCTTGTTGAAAAATAAAATCCTCACCACATATACGTTTTATGTCTTTTAACAGACCCCTTTTCAGTACTAATTGATAATAAACAACACTGAAATTCATGAACAATAAGTTTAGTCACACTATTATGCAAATATGCAAGCATGTATTCACCTTACAAAATGATATTCTATAATTAAAAAACTAACATAATCCCGCAGATGTAGTATTTTCTCCCTAAAATCTAGAGACCCTAAATATCAACCCGGCCTCCCAAATAAGTATAATAAAACTTTACTATTGATTTCATGACATAGTGCTATATACCAAATTGTTTGAAAATGAATTACCTTTAAAATGATACGTAAGTCAATGTACCATATTGAACGTAACTATTTTTATCCTGATTTAAAGTTGGGTATTGGTTTTTTTTGGCCCACCCTGTATATAAGCAGAAATACTCTTCAATAGCTTCCATTTTATTGAACCCCATTAAAACTTGGTAGGTGCAGTTACTTGGTCATCTGTGAACGTTTTTATTACTTCCTCCCCTGACAATGTGCTAATACTGTTCCCAATACATGTACATCATCAAAAAAATATTGTCACAATTGGACAGCCAACAATCTAATTTTTATGTCACCTCTAGCAATAGACGGTTGATTATCAATGATCACAGGCCTCTGAAGTTTGAAAAATAAAAATACCTGGATGTAAATCCTTAGATAATCTTTGAAAATGAGAACTATTTTTACGGATTATATGGTGTAATCTGATGTCAATAAAACGTTTTATAGTGTTTTCCAAATGAAAAACAAGCCAAATGAAAAACAAGCCAAATGAATGATTCATTCTACATACAACTCACAGTCCTTTTCATTTAAGATCAAGAGAATATCTAATTACTTGCAAATATCAGCATTTTCATTTTTGACTTTTTGGTAGGCGTGGCACTTTGGCGATACTATGCTCTGAAGCCATCAGGAAATTTGAACTGCTGAACCACTATTGTTTTGCAAATTCACCACTTACACAATCAATCTAAGTTTATATCCAATTTACACTCAGTTTACACTTAGTTTACATCAGACCTTGGTGTATACTTAGATCTTAACTTTACCTCAAGTAAATAGGTATTTACTAGCAGAAAGTATACACTGATTTACTTGGTGTAAACTCGAATTTGTTGGAAGTGCAAACTGGGTGTAATTTATACTCAGAAAAAATCAAATATTGGTCAAGGTGTAAACGTGTATACTTGATTTTGGAATCCTGGTTTATAATTCGATATGGGTCTGTTTATTTGTATAGATTCAGACATACATTCATGAACTCCTTGAAGACTGGCCACTTTTTGGGAAAATACAAAATATTGAAAAGGTTATTTGTAAATGAATCTAGAAGCAAGAAAAGGAAGCAAGACCCAATAATTTATATGTCATTTTGCTGCTAATAGACCCATATTTTATTTTTTAGTTTTAAAATGTAAATATGTAAATGAGATGGTGTCATTGTGACAACATAATTCATGATGGCAGATTTCGATTTTTTACAAAACAGAATTATTTTAGCATTTTATTTTTTATTGAAACTTCTGAATTTAAAAATCTGATTTGACAGAAAAATAGATCTTTTAATGCTTATTTGGTTATTTCTGTGATATTTGTACCATAGCATAACTCCTACAAATAATTCTTGGGGGCGCCAAAACTGAAATTTTCCGGCAAATCCCCATGGCGATTTAAAATGGGATTTTTTGTTTTCGCAACTTTTTGCGACTCGTCAGCTTCTGACCCCTGTAACTTTTGAAATATTTAACAAAAAATTATGAACTTTTTAAAAAATGTTTGTATGAACTTCAAGATAACAGAAACCGATCAATTCAATACCACTTTAGGGACATCCTCTGATCACAGGGCTTCAAAATTCAGAATATCTTCACATTCTCCCCCCATCAATAAGCAGTTAGCATTTGTTAATTAAGGATTTTAATACACTGGTGAACTAAAATGTAAACTAAGTGTAAACTAAGTTTAAAATCTGACCAATCAGGAGTGTGCTTTTAATGTAAATTGGATGTATACTTAAGTGTAAATTAGCTTATTTGCATGTGAAATTGGTCACCTATTCACGGGGTGTAAACTAAGTGTAAACTAAAGTGGTAACTGAGTTTGAACTGGATGTAAACTAGATGTAAACTAAAATGTAAATTGGTTGTATACTAATATGTAATCTAAGGAGTAAACTACGCATCAAATTGGTCACCTAATTGCTGGTTTTTGAACAGATGTGCGGGTGATTTCGAAACTAATGGCCAAACATGAAGACGTAGCGATGGGGTTAAACTGAGGGTCCAATCTGAAATTATGGGCGAACATGATTAAAAGACAGGCGAGGTAACTAGACTTATAGTTGGAAGCTATGAAAATTTGCTTGATCTCACAGCTAAGGACCATAACGCCACTAGAACTAGGAACACTAAAGCAATGCACCAACAGAGAGGCATTTATGTTTTGCTTTAAATGGCACAAGTTTGTTATAGGTTTAAAATTCAAAATAACGCTTTTGCGGGACGTAGTGGTTTCGATACGTCCCATATAGTTGGTACCCCGTGTATATAGCCATAGGCCTACCTGTCTTAACTCCGGGGTACGGAATGTACTAAAAACCCTTCGACCCCACGACCTACAACTTACAGGGTGTCAAGAATTTTTGGAATATATTTTTATAAAAACCCTTCGACCTTCAAGTTCTCAGTTCATATGAAGTTGGTGGAAATATTACTATGTATTAAGAATCTGTCCCTAAAGAGTTAAAGATATTTGTTGTATTATTCAAGCACATAATTTCGAATGTGAACGTTTCTTATCAGTAAAAATATTTGACCTTTTCCCATCACATTGTAACAGTGGCGCATCGTGCATATTTTCAGGAGGTCAAATTAAATACTGGATATGACAAATAAATAAAATCAAATATAAAGAAAATACAGTAAATTGAATTGAAATTAAATGTAACGCATTGTATAATAGATAATGAAATATTTTCACGAACTGATAACATTACGTACATTTTTATGATTTGAAATACCTTAGCCACATATACAACGCTCCATGCACCATTGGAAAGCTTATCTTGTCTTCTTTAGTCTCCTTTCTAACAGAAGTGAATCAACTGTTACGCATTGAACTTTATTAATAGATGACAAAACATTTTTTGCTGAGTGACAATATTACATATGATTTGAAATAGCGAGCCACATGTACACAAAACATTGGAAAGCTTGTTTAGTGTTCTAAATCTCATTCATAACAAAATCGAATCAAATGTACACGGACTGTGAAATTATGTGTTACGCACAGAACTTTAATATTAAATCACGAAATAGCTTCGCAGGATTTCAACATGACGTAACTTACATCATTTGCTTTGTTTGTTCCAACAAGGTTCGGAAAGACATTTCATTTCATTCTCAAGCCGAAAATTGGTAGAAAGGAACAAAAAACAATTGCACTAAAAAACAAAAAATGTTAACAAAAACAGTTATATAAAATATATATAAATAATTTTCGCATTAAATTGTTCTCAATCAGTCAACATTACAAATACCGTGTTTTTACAGAATGTTGTCAATAATTGGTTTAAGAGACAAACATTGTTGAATTCAGTTCAATATATCGATACCTATCCTTTGGCAACATTTAAGTAAATTAAGCAAATTTTAAGCAAATTTGGCATAAATTAAGCAAAAAGTAAAAGCAAAAATTTGACGAAATACATGTAAGTATCGTATTTTTGTTTTGTTTGTTTTTTACAAAAGTTGAATAAATTAATGATTTTAGATGTATGTATATGATAGATGTGTGTATAAACCTGCTGCTCTATTCTACCCTTGTAGAGGTTTTCACAACCTACTTGAATCAGGCAATCGGGCAAGGCAAGAGAGACATGTTTACCAGTCAAAATTACTTTTCAATTAGGTTGGTATGGACGTGGAAACAATATGTTGACATTGTATGGCATGTATACATTGAGCAACCAATGTGGACAACCAAATGCTAGTTAGGAAGTTTATGGTACCCCCGGATTTACTTACGTAAACAGTCACTTGTCTTTTGAAAGACTTTGAAAGTGTTGACTTCAACTCAATAGACTTATTTGATGCATATGGTGAGTGATTATACTTTCTTTTCCGACGTGGTTAGGCTTTGGGGGTTGGTAATTGATTGGATTGACTTTGGGGAGAAGTTACAATGTCATGGTGAAC